TCTCTTTTCTTTCTTCTTGGTGTTTATCTCCCTTTGTGGTTTTTGATAAACCCCTAGAGCGGATGGCTGTTTGTAGGCTTGTTTCTTTTGTTTCCTATTTTCGGGGCATGTCCCAAAATAGGCTGGTCGCCTTTTATTAGGCCTTTGTACATTGTTCTTGTTTCTTTAATATGATTACTTACTTAACAAAAAAAAAAAAGAAATTCACTATATATATGCCGCTAAAGTTATGGTAAAAGGCTTTCTTAGCGTTTGACGAGTTGCAGACTGTGATGCCACTTGCTTTTATGCAAGTAAACCGTGTACTTCACTCAAAACGAAAGTGCAAACGTCATCGTATTTGCGAAATTCACTATATATATACTGCAAAAGCTCTCGTAAAAAGCTTTCACAGGGTTTTCGTGCTGCCAAACACAACTCAATTTGACATAAGTAAATCTCGTCCTTCACCCAATACGAAAGTGCAAATCTCATTCAAATTGCCAAATTCACTATATATATGTCACAAAAGTTTCGGCAAAAGGCTTCCGTAGCATTTCCGTGTTTCTGATTGTGATGCCACTTGATTTTATGCAAGTAAACCATGTTTCTTTTTTTTTTTTTTTTTTTACAGGTAAGTAGTAAATCATGTCCTTCGCTCATTACGAATGTGCAAGCATCATCATAATGTGAAATTCATTACATATATGTGTCGCAAAACTTCCTGCAAAAGGATTTCACAGGGTTTTGAAGTTGCCGATTTTGACACCGTGTGATTTTATGCAAGTAAACTGTGCCCTCCACCCAATACAAAAGTAGAAATCTCGTCGTAATTGCGAAATTCAAAATATATGTATACTGTAAAAGTTCTTTTGAAAGGCTGTCGTAGCGTCTTCATTTCCAAATGTGACACAACTCAATTTTATGAAAGCAAACCTGTCCTACACTAAATAAGAAAGAGCTAGCAAGCGTCATAGCAAAAGGCTTTCATAGCATTTTCATGCTGCTAATATTGACGCACCTCAATTTTACGCAAGTAAAACATGCCTTACAGTCGAAAGGAAAGTGCAAATCTCATTGTGCTTCTTTTGACTCCTATTTTTGGGGCATGTCCCAAAATAGGCTGGTTGCCTTTTTTTAGGCCTTCGTACTTTCTTCTCTTTTTAATGTTATTACTTACTTAACAAAAAAAAAAATCTCATTTGTGACTGTGCAGGTCACTATATATATGCCGCAAAAGTAATGGTAAAGCGCTTTTGCAGCATTTTCGAGTTGCAGACTGTGATGCCACTTACTTTTATGCAAGTAAACCGCATGCTTCACTCAAAACGAAAGTGTAAGCCTCATCGTACTTGCAAAATTCACTATATATTTGTTGCAAAAGCTCTCGTAAAAGGCTTTCATAGCATTTTTGCGCTGCCGAACGCAACTTGATTTGACGCAAGAAAACCGTGTCCTTCACCCAATGCGAAAGTGCAAATCTCATTCTAATTGCCTAAGTCACTATATATATGTTGCAAAAGTTTTGGCTAAAGGCTTCCGTAGTGTTCAAGTTGCCGATTGTGATGCCACCACCCGATTTTATGCAAGTAAATCGTGTGTTTCCTTTTTGGGGGTAAGTTGTAAATCGTGCATTTTACTCAATACGAAAGCACAAACTTCTTCATATTTATGAAATTAACTATATTTATGTCACAAAAGTTCTCGTAAAAGGCTTTCACAGCATTTTCAAATTGCTGGTTGCGGTGCAATTCTAATTTATGCTAGTAAACCGTGTCCTTCACTCAATATGAAAGTGAAAATCTCATTCTAATTGTGAAATTCACTACATGTATGTCGCAAAAGTTTTGGTAAAAGTGCCAAGCGGAATGGGAAAAAGAGAAGATTAGAGGTAGACTTAGTATCATTCCTTTGCTCCTAACCTAGGGCTTGTCCTGAGGTAGGTTGGCCGACTTTTAGGCCTATTTTACATTCTTTCCCCTTTCTATAAAAGATTACTTATCCAAAAAAAAAAAAAAAAAAATTTGGTAAAAGGCTTCCATAGCATTTTTTGTGTTGCCGATTGTGATACCACTCAATTTTACGCAAGTAAACTATGTGTTTCACTCAATACGAAAGCGTAAACCTCTTCATATTTGTGAAATTCACTATATGTATGATGTAAAATGCTTTTGTAGGGTGTTCAAATTGCCGGTTGCAGCGCAACTCGAGTTTATGCAACTAAACTGTGTCCTTCGCTCAATACGAAAGTGCAAGCATCTTTGTATATGTGAAATTCATTACATATATGTATCGCAAAACTTCCCGCAAAAGTATTTCACAAGGTTTTCAGGTTGCCGATTTTAACGCCAAATGATTTTATGCAAGTAAACCGTGCCCTCCACCCAATACGAAACTATAAATCTCGTCTTAATTGCGAAATTCACAATATATATGTCACAAAAGTTCTCGTAAAAGTCTTTCGTAGCATCTTCGTATTGCTGAGTGTGATGCAACTCAATTTAACGAAAGCAAGATGAGAGTTTTTAGTCTTTCAGGGAGGGGTTCAAACATTCAGCAGAAACTCAGATATTTCATTTTTACTTATTCTTTCCAAATCAGTATCCGGAACGTTTTTACCGAATGCTATCTCTTGCACGCAGCACAACGCACGGGAGATCTCATCAATTGAAATAAAAAACCAAGTTATGAATAATAGTTTACTCCATAAATCAGGAGGCTAATGAGAGTAGTTTGGCTACATCAATAGTTTAGATTATGAGTGAGACAATGTCACTAATTTTAGTGGGTATTGTTTGATTGAGAGTATGAATTAAACAATTGATAAGTAAAGCCTGGATTTTTGAGACCACTTCTTCTTTGATTCGTATTTACTTTTCTAAGGTTCTTTTTTCCTTTTTTCTTGTTTTGGTCTCCTCCTTATACTAAACATAAAAGACTCATTAAGAGTGATTGATATTTGACATTATACCGACATCTACTTAAGTGAGCATGATTTTCTGAACGGAGAAGTTAACTCATGCTTAAGAATAAGATGAGCTTAACTCAAGCTTCTTCCATGACACATTGACATATTAACAAGTAAGGATGTAAGACGAGCCAAGCCCCTTGTGAGTAGCTCAAGCTCAAGCAGCTCGAGTACAATGTCGAGCCAAGTTTGAGCTCCCCAATACTCAACTCAAGCGGCTGTTTACCCAAGCTCGACAGAGGATGTATGCAAGTTTTGCCAGTACTAGTGGGGTTCGGCCTTTAAAATTAGGACAAAATGACATTCTACAATCGAAATATTGAATCCAATTTTAATTTCAGAATTCAAAAACCCTAAATCCCAAATTTCCTTAATCTCTCTATCTCGTTTCGTTCTTCTCACTGGTATCATCTCTGTCTTCCTCTTTTGCACTCTTTGATGCCAAGTTAAGCATGCTAAAGAACTGGGATCATTCATTAACTTTGTAAAGCTTAGTCTTTTCTGTCTTGGTTTCTTTTAAGTATCCAGTTGTTGTCATAATTTTTAACTTTGTAAGATAAGCTCAAGCTTGAGCTCGACTCGGGCTCGGGACTGGATCAAACAACACCAGCTCAAGCTTAGGCCGAGCTTGAGCTAGAGTAGGCGAGCTCAAGCTCGAGCTCAATATTTGAAGCTCGATCGAGCATGAGCTCAACATTGTAGCATCCAAGCTGAGCTTGAGCCACCCAATCTTGGGTTGGCTCGACTCGATTACACCCCTGTCAAGTGTGGACATCAAATGAGAAGAAATGTCTTGGTCAAAATTTTGGCAGAGATGAGTGCGAACCTAAGGGGCTCCATTCATTTATGAATGCTATTGACCCTTCCGTTTTCACTTATTCGCAAACGCAAAAAATAACGTTGGTTGATGAAATTTGGTTTTTAAATTGTAAAAATGAACAAAAGAGGACAAAACCAATATGGTGAGGAGATTTGTCATTTCTGAACGCATGAAACAAAAGACAAAAACAAAAAGAAAAGAAAAAAATTGTTAACTTATTTAGTACTCTCTTTTTCTGACTCTTCAAATTCAAGCTCAAATTTCTTTCTCGAATAAGTTCCAACAATCTAAATAAGATCGTCTATTTTCATATAATTTTTTTGCGATTCGCGTAATTAATAATTATTATTAATTAATGCTTTATTTTAAAAAAAAAAAATTCGAACAAATATGAAATACGTTCATTTTCCGCATTTTCAAATACTGTTTTCAAATAAACAAGTTTTTACTTGTTTGCATTGTCCCATCATTTCGACAACACAAGCATCTACAATTTAAAAAGAAAAAAGCAGAGTTAAATCGGAGAAATAAATTGAATATTATATTTTATTTAGTAATATATAAAAAATCGTAGTACACTTTTATTAAAAGGATTACAACTGAAAAACCAGCATCAACTGAAGGAAAAATTTTGTTAAGTCTAACAAGAAGAGATGTAAATAAATCCCCACATTAGATCCATTGATCTAAAAAAGGCAGTAGATGTAAAAGATTTGATATAAAATTTACGTGCAATCCAATCTCTTTCATCATATATGATCAGTCAAACCTAACAATTAGAGGTTCATTCGGTATTTGAAGTGAAAATTACCTACCTCCTGCAATCTGCCTTAATTATCAATTGTCCACTTTCAGAACGTAAGTCTACAAGTACAAGCATTTTCAACATCCCACTATCAGCTATTAAATAGCTGCTTCCATTGACATTTATCATCAAACAAATGTTGTCAACAAGCTTCTAAATACATCACAAAAAAATTCACCAAACTTCAAATTACAGAACAAAAAAACAAGCTTTTCCCAATTTCTCTTACATAGTACAGCTGGCTAAATGATAGAAGACCAAAAATAATATGAAGTCACAAATTATAAACTACCACTTTCTTCAGCACCAAAACTTGCACATTGAACAAATATAATTTACAGGAATAAGATTCTAAACAAATATTTAGTCACTATAATTTCTAAAAACCAACCATGAGAGCTTTTAGTCTGTTAGGGAGGAGTTCTAACTTCCAGCAGAAACTCAGATATTTCATTTTTGCTTATTCTTTCCAAATCAGTATCTGGAACATTTTTAAAGAATACATTATAAGGAACATAGAAAAAAAGTATTTTCAATATTCAAATTTCAAGAAACTGAACAAAACTAAGCAGAAAAATATAGAATTGACAAAACAAAAGGGGAACAAAAAACCAGTACAGAATCAATCACAATAAACTACAAACCGCTCAATAATCTACATATAACAAACCATGCCATCCCGAGAGCCATGGGGGTTGCATGTCCAAGATGATAGATGAACTTGTACTTTACCGCATTTAAGAGGATCTGGCCATCTCTGTACAGCGTGGGATGGGCACCCACAAGAACACTTCAAAAATTTCTTCTGTGTATGATTATTTTTGAAAGTTGAAAAATGGTAAAACCCTTTACAGCAAATCCAGTAGAGGTGGTTGTTCTGATGTTGGTTTGACATGGCTAGGCCGTGAACTTGAACTCGCTCCTCTTCCTCTTCCTCTTCCTCTACCAACAGCAGTTGCAGGAGGTGGGGCAAGTTTTGGTGTAGTTTGTTCGGACTTGCTAGTACCAAATATGGATCCAAGATTAGATGATTTCTTATCGTTATTGTATGTAACTGAAACTGGACCTGAACCTGAACCTGAATATCCTTGATTCTGTTTCATGAACCCAATAGAATTCAGGTCATTCAGGCCCCCAGAATTCAAACTACCGGAATTCAAAGTTGAACTTGGATTGTAGGAGGCCCAACTGTTATTGCCATTGGTTTGATAGCTCTTATTGTTTGGTGTACTTGTCAAACCAGAAGTATAATTTTTTGTCACTGATCCTATATTGCCATTGCTAAGAGTTCCTGAAACACTTGAAGAGCCACTTGGCCGTGGAGGCCAATCAGCAAATGGATCTAGATCTTCAAAACTTGAAGATGAAGACCTTCCAGGGTTCGGTTGCTGCTTCTCACTATCAGCTACAGAAGAGGTCACAGATGAAGATGCACAAGGAAGCCATTCTAAATCAATTGGAGGGCATGATACAGCTGTTTGCTGACTAGATACAGCAGATACCAAGGAAGTTTGGAATTGCACAGGGGTTACTTGAATTGGTTTTTCACTGTAAATGGTTGTAGTGGATGAGATGTTTTTGATAGAAGACTGATTGGAATTGGCTGGTCCCTTTGTCTTAGGACCCCAATCCTCATCCCATGATAGGCTGCTCTTAGTTGTCGAAGCCACACTCCCACTTGTTTTGCTCAAGGCTTGAGACTGAGGCCCATTGGCAAAAGGAATATCTTTTAGCTCCGGAAATCCAGCATCAGTTACAGTAACTCCACGTTTTTCTTCTATCTTCCTGCAATGAAATGTAATGATCAGTAAGGATTAAGTTATTTTTAAAATTGTGCACAAACACAAAAAATGGACTGGGGGCAGGGATGAGACAGGATTCAATGGGTGCAAAATATGATAGTAATACCTGAGAATATCCTTGACAAAAAGCATATATTTAGCAAACTGCTGAACATTCAATTGTTGAGCAGTAAGAAGAGGGGAGAGTAACGGAAGGACATGTTCTGCAGCAAATTCGACTCCATACTGAACAAGATGAATCGGGGAGGAAAATGAGCCAGATTTCACAAACATAAACATACCACACATAGTAGAAAGCTAAAACAAGTCCATTGTTTACCTGCTTGAGAATTGAGTTAGCAACCCCAAGGGTACACATAAGGGTAGGAGCAGAACGGTCAACAGCTGTACAACGTTGAATCGTTTGCAAAATGTCCAGAACAGCATGTTTATCAAGTGTGTGAACCAGATCTCCTAAGCATAGCAAAGCATTGACTCTCACCTGCCAACGTAAACAATCCCAACACTTCAGATTGAATATCAATTTCTAGATTAACAGGAAGTAGTGAAAACAGAGCACCTATTACTCATTCAAAGGCATTTTGCACTCCTGACAAAACTTTTTAAAATAAGCTGAGGTTATGCTGCCAATACATATGTCTAATAACTTGACTTGTACCAAATTACAAACAGGAAACTTAAGAATATACACAAGAATGACAATTTATCTTTTTCCCATTCCACAGCATGATTTGATTCAATTTTACAGCAGTTCGAAAAAATGATTCTTCATTTTCTTCTCACCGTTCTGCTGAATTTTTACGGTGGGAACAATAGAACAATTAGACTTAAATGTCTTTGAACCGTCATGAACAATTTCTCCAGAGGCAAGAGGTTTATACACACCCATACAAGCACCAAATGTTCCTTGTAAAACAAGTTAATCATAAACAGCATTGCCTTGTATAGCTATATACCACATTCTTCAGGGAACTATTTCTTGATAAGAAACAAAATGAAATTTAATAATAATATATACAAAGTTACATATAAAGTGGACAAGTGGCCCCAAAAAATAAAGCAAGGTAAAAAGAAACAGGAAAACAGCTACAGAAAATCACCCAGCATAAGAATTAGCATCTTCACAATTTGATTGAACGTATAAAGTGGAATAGCTCTGAACTCATTAAGAACCGAGTTCTTTAACGAAATTGAAATAAACGAGTAAAACAAAACACAGATTTAAATTATTTACAGGCAGGAGAGATCCAGTAATCTTTATTTAGTCCTTGTTAAAGAGTTTTTGTGTCCACGTTTCAAAAATGCATACAGAATTCAACAAAAAGATATTGCTCAACAGAATTACGTAGTAGAAAAAAGCTCTCAGTGAGATGCAGACAAAAATAACCACACATTAGCTGTGTCAACACTTCTCAGTGGCAGAAGACATGCACAAGCACTATAATGGCCATCTGATTCTAGCTTTAATAGAAGCCAAACTTAACAATCCTCAAAAATGATATTTTTGTAACCTTCAATAACAAGTTTATACAAAATTCTTCAATATGGAAAATTGGTCAAATGAATAAAAAAAAAAATTGAAAAGAAAACATATAATTGCACTACAAAAAAGATATAAGATAAAACAAATGAAATACATACCGCAGCAACTGTTGTTTTAAGAGCTAAGCCATGAACACGGGGCAAAATCGCTTGTTTCACCAGCTAGAAAGAAAAAAAGAATATAAGAAAACATGTCAGCAGTTTCTCCCTATACTTGCCACCAGAAAGAAAAATAGTAGATGAAGATGGGATATGCAGAAGCCAAAAGGAACTTCAAGAAGAAGACCTTGGGCTGTTGATTGCTTCTTAGAAATGAAGTTGGGATTCTAAATTTGTTATAGGGTTCAGAATTCAATTTCTATAAGGATCATTTTGATTATAGTGCTTAAGACAACAGCTGGGATAGTTTTAGTGGGTTTCTTTTGGGCTTCAGTTAAGCTCTTAAAGTCTAATGAGGGGTAATAAAATCCAGACAGCTTCTGTAAGACACATGATAATTCCTTCCTTCCTTCCTTCCTCCCTCCCCCAATAAAAGGAACTTCGAAAAGGATGACAAGTGGTGGTCACCTGAACATCAAGTTGCTTAGCAAGGGATACAGATCTTCTCAAAACTTCCTCTTGTATGCGAGGATCGGTATCATCATAACCTCGAACAAGCAAGGGCAATAAATGTGAAACTAGCTGCTCCCGACCAGTCTACAACAACCACATAACAAACAGTATCATGCTCATGCTTTGTTCTTGCAGTATAAGCATTAATAAACAGATAAGAAACCATCCAGGGATAAAAAAGTGCCATCTCAAATACAACATAAAACTCATATGGGAATTTCAACCAGGCAGAATTTTGGCAACTACTAAACAAATAAAAAAAAAGAGATGTGTGCTTCATTCAGATTGATTCAATGATCTTATAATAATTATATAATCAAGCTTCTGTGTCCATGAAAAGGAGGCAATTACTTAGTTAGACAAAATTTTAATGATTCCTGTTGGACCTAAAATCTAATTACCCAATCTTTGCCACAACGGAGAACATTTAGTTCAAGAATATAGAGAAACTGAAACAGCGGTGTATAAGCTCAACAATGTAACAGGAAAGTAGGACCCAACCTTTGTTATTAACTTTTGAATAAACAATAATGGCATTAACATATGAATCCAGCAATAAAAACTAGTATCTAGACTTTTGTCATACTCGCATCCAAATTAATGCCATCACTAATTTCTTTTATTTAGAATATGATGAGACCTCTTTAGTGCACGACTTTACCAGGAAAAATAAGAGAGTGAATAGAGGATGGGGGCAGGATTTACCAAGTAGAGGACAGTCCTAAATAGCATTTTAGTGCGCGTAAAGCAATGGACAGGTGGCATCTACAGATTGGTTTTAAAGAAATTCTATTAAAATGGGAATTCAGCATAAAAAGGGTTGACAGGGAATGATTGGGGGTATCGAAAAAGTAAAAAAGGGAATTTGGGTTGGGGAGGTACTGGCCCTCGAAGCCAGCTGGTTATCTTTTCTTTATTTTCTTCTTTTCAATTTGCTGTTCATTTTCTGGTTTCTTATTTTGTGTAGTTCTTGTTGATGATCGAACTTGTGTTGTTTTGAATATTCATAATAATACAGTAGAGGTATCTCAGTGAAGTTCTGGTTGAGAGTGTTTTGTCCAACAATTGTTGTTGAGGTGACTGGGAATTCCGGGAAATTGGGTGCATGTGTGGTTATACAGGTTGAGTTAGAATAAGGTTTCTATCAAAGTGGTATCAGAGCGTAGTGACGATCAGGGTATGGTTGGAACAAGGATGGAAAACTGATTAGATATTGTGGTGAAAGACATGAGAATGATGAGGGAATGCTTGATGGAAATCCCAGCTTGGATTAGACGCAAAGACGAGGAAGAAGCCAGCAGAGTTGAAAGGGCTAGGTGGACAGAAATACTTGTTAATCTGAATCCAAACCTAGGGGAAGAGAATGATGAACCTAATCCAAATACGAATGGTGAACACACAGTAATAGGAGTCGACCAGAATTTGCCGGCCGGAAAATTGAAATGCCGATATTCATGGGTGAGGATCCTTATGGATGGTTATTTAGGATCGAACGATACTTTAATGTGTATCAAGAGCGGAGGAGGAACGATTGAACACAATGGCGGTGTGTATGGAGGGAGACGCGATAAATTGGTTTCAATGGATGGAAATCCATGCTCCCGTAGCATCCTGGCCTGCGTTTAAACTCTCCCTACTTCATCGATTTGGTGGATCCTAAGAGGTAGGATCGTATGAGGCGCTGATGGGAATTCAACAGACTGGCTCTATGGAAGATTACCGTCGTAAGGTTGAAGCATTGTCTGCACCATTACGAGATGAGAAACAAGACATACTTTGGGTTGCCATCCTAAATGGGCTCAGGCCAAAAATTAAAACAGAAGTAAGGTTGGGACAGCCCAATTCGCTAATCCAATTGATTGAATTGGCCCAGAAAATAGAAGAAAAGAATTGGGCTTTGGATGAATTGAAGAATGGGCTAAGTAGGGGTGTGAGGCCCGAAGGAGTAGGTGGAGTTAATAGAGTGGGTTGGACTAATAATAGTGGGCCAGGTAAAAATTTTGGACAAAGTGAAAATGAATTAAAAAAACTCATATGTGACCAACCCAATGGCAACTTCAGGCAACACAAATACAAATACAAATCCAAATCCAAATTTCAGTGCGCAAACGAGCTGAAATTGGAACGATTGACATCTCAATGTCGTTTCGAGCGACAACCAACGCAGCACCAACAATTCCGTTTAACAACCACCGACCCATTCGAATTTCAGGAGAGAGTTCCCTTTTGAACAGATGACAACATGAGATTTAGAGAAAAAGGGCGCGTGGGATATGTTTCCGGTGTGATGCGAAGTTCTTTCCAGGCCATCGATGTGGGGACAAACAGTTCCACGTCATTCTGATCGATGAGGAGGACACCTAGGATGAGACGAACAACAGTGGAGATGAGTTAAGTGAATTTGTCGTAGAACAATTGCAAAATGATGCAAAGCTTTTGATTAGTTCTGTTGTTGGTATTTCGGGTTCGAAAACTATGAAATTGAAGGGTAAAATCAAAGGTGTTGAAGTGATAGTGTTCATTGATAGTGGAGCGTCACACTATTTTATTGGCAAGGGTGTGATAGAAAAATTGGGGATATCAGTGATGCAGACTCAAACTTCTAGGGTGAGAGTTGGTGACGTTATAGAGTGCAGTCTGAGAAAGAAGTAGGAATGTGCAACTGGATATCCAAGGAGTTCCAATTACACAAATTTTTTTCCCATTCGAGATGAACAGAGCGGATGTAGTTCTGGGAATTGCTTGGTTGGAAACTTTAGGGGAGACAACAGTCGATTAGAAGACACAAGGGATGAAATTTAAGTTAGGAGACAAAGTAGTGAAGATTCTAGGGGATCCCGCCTTAAGCAAGACCCTAATTTCATTAAAGGCTATGCTTAGGACGATCCAACGCGAGGGACACGGGTATTTTGTAGAGTTTGGTAATTTACAGAAGCAATCTGAGTTCGAATTTGAGGGGGACAGCAGCATCTTATCAGTTCTGAATCGGTTTCAGTTAGTCTTTACTTCGTTATCAGGATTACCGCCGCCTAGAACCCAAGATCATTCTATTAGCCTCATTCCCGAATCCCAACCCCCAAACACTAAACCTTACGACTATCCCTACTACCAAAAAAATGAAATAGAGAAACTCGTTGGTGAGATGTTAGCTTCTGGAATCATTAAACCCAGCCTTAGTTCCTTTTCCAGCCCAGTGTTATTGGTTAAAAAGAAAGACGGCGGATGGAGATTCTGTATTGATTACAGGGCTCTAAACAAGATATTGGTCCCGAATAAGTTTCCCATTCCAGTGGTGGATGAATTATTTGATGAATTAGAAGGAGTCTCAGTTTTTTCTAAGCTGGATTTGAGGCTGGGCTACCATCAGATTAGAGTTAAGAATGAGGATACCCACAAAACGGCATTTAGAACACATGAAGGGCATTATGAATTCCTAGTCATGCCATTCGGCTTGACCAATGCCCCAACCACTTTTCAAGCCTTCATGAATGACATATTTCGGCCTTTTCTGCGGCGATTCATTTAAGTTTTCTTTGACGATATCTTGGTTTACAGCTGTACAAGAGAAGATCACATTCGGCACCTGGAGATCACCCTTAGCACACTTGAAGAACACCAATTAGTTGCCAGAAAAAAGAAATGCTTCTTCGGACAACGGAAATTAGAATACTTAGGGCATATCATTTCAGCGTATGGGGTGGCGATTGATTCTTCCAAAATCGACAGTATTTTGCAGTGGCCAATTCCTAAGGATATCAAGGCATTACGTGGATTTCTTGGTTTGACTGGATACTACCGACGATTTGTCAAAGATTATGGAAAAATAGCCATTCCTCTTACATGTCTACTTAAGAAACATGCATTTCGATGGAATCCTAAAACCCAAAAAGCCTTTGATGAGCTTAAGCAGATCATGACATTAGTACCGATGTTGGTAATGCCGAATTTTGCTAAAGAATTTATCATTGAGACGGATGCCTTAGGGAGTGGGTTAGGGGCTGTTCTTATGCAAAAGGGTAAACCATTAGCTTTTTTGAGCAAAAGGTTATCGGCACAATCTAAGCTTAAATCAGTTTATGAACGAGAATTAATGGCTATTGTAATGGCGGTTCAGAAGTGGCGACATTACTTATTGGGGCGACGATTCATCATTAGAACGGACGAACGAAGTTTACATTTCCTAACAGATCAACGGTTATCGAGTGAAGACCAACAGAAATGGGTTACTAAGTTGATAGGATTGAACTTTATCATCCAGTATAAACTGGGGACAGAGAATCGAGTAGCTAATGCTTTATCTCGAAGAAGTGAACTGGTTGATTTCAATGGGCTTTCTGTGAGTTACTCTGCGGTGTTAGAGGAACTTGAGCATGCTGTTCAACAAGATGACAACTTGCGTGGGATTGTCCAAGAGCTACTATTGGATCCCGATGGCCATCCACCATTTAAATTAGTTGGGCACCATCTCTTGTATAACGGCCAAATGGTTTTACTGAAGAAAGAGGCCCACATTCAACAACTCCTACATGAGTTTCATTCGTCACCTGTTAGGGGCCACTAGCGCTTCTTTCGCACTTATAAAAGGCTCAACAGTGTGGTGTATTGGGAGGGCATGAAACAGGATATCAAAGAGTATGTCGACTCTTGTTCGGTTTGTCAACAAAATAAGTACCAAGCTTTGAGCCTCGCCGGATTATTGCAGCCCTTATCTATTCCTAATCAGGTGTGGGAAGACATTTCCACGGACTTCTGAAAGCAAATAGCGTCGACACAATTTTGGTGGTGGTTGATAGGTTGACTAAGTACAGTCATTTCTTGACTCTTAAACACCCTTACACAGCCAAAGATGTCGCCAACCTTTTCATTAAAGAGATTGTTCGGCTACATAGGTTTCCTCGATCGATTGTTTCCGATCACGACCGTATATTCATTAGTCACTTTTGGAGAGAATTGTTTAAACAATCGAGAATGCAGCTTTGCATGAGTTCGGCCTACCATCCTCAAACAGATGGCCAATCCAAAGTTGTGAATTGGTGTGTGGAGACATATCTACGTTGTTTTGTGGGAAGTCAGCCTGACCTAAATAGATCTCTTGGTCTGAGTTTTGGTTTAATACAACATTCAATAGCTCCACAGGTATGACACCTTTTAAAGCACTTTATGGTTGCGATCCTCCAACTATCCTTAAGTTTTCCAATCATGGTTCAACTGTCGATGAAGTGAATTGTCAATTGCAAGCTCGCAATGTCATCTTAGCAGAGTTGCAGGAGAATCTCCTCAAAGCTCAGGGACGAATGAAAAGTTATGCCGATACAAAGAGGAGGAAAGTTCAACTGGAAGTTAGGGATTCAGTTTACCTCAAGTTGCAACCCTACCATCTTCGCTCTTTAGCTCGTCGATACAATGAGAAACTAAGTCCCCGATTCTATGGTCCTTTTGATGTTAAAGAAAGGATTGGTACAGTGGCCTATCGCTTGAATCTACCTCCCACAACCCGCATTCATGATGTTTTCCATGCGTCATAACTCAAGAAAACTAAGTACCTACCACCTACTACCCAACCCTTCCCTGTAGCACTGGATGAGGATCTTGTTTTGAAGGTCAAATCGGAGGAGGTTTTACGTACATGAAAACTTTTGAATGGTCCTTTGGAAGTCTTAATCAAATGGAAAGGCCTGCCCAACTATGAGAATTGGGAGGAATTCACCTCCATTGATCTCCAATTTCCTTTATTCCACCTTAGGGACAAGGTGGCTCTCCTTCGGGAGGGTAATGATGAGACCTCTTTAGTGCACGTCTTTAGTAGGAAAAATAAGAGAGTGAATACAGGATGGGGGCAGGATTTACCAATCAGAGGACAGTCCTAAATAGCATTTTAGTTGCGCGTAAAGCAATGGACAGGTGGCATCTACAGATTGGGTTTAAAGAAATTCTGTTAGAATGGGAATTGAGCATAAAAAGGGTTGACAGGGAAGGTTCGAGGGTATCAAAAAAGTAAAAAGGGAATTTGGGTTGGGGAGGTACTGGCCCTCGAAGCCAGCTGGTTATCTTTTCTTTATTTTCTTCTTGTCAATTTGCTATTCATTTTCTGGTTTCTTATTTTGTGTAGTTCTTGTTGATGATCAAACTTGTGTTGTGTTTTGAATATTTATAATAATACAGTAGAGGTATTTTAGTGAAGTTCTGGTCGAGAGTGTTTTGTCTAACAATTGTTGTTGAGGTGACTGGGAATTCTAGGAAATTGGGTGCATGTGTGGTTATACAGACTGAGTTAGAAGGTTTCTACCAGAATACATTGTTGTCAAACCACTTCCACTCCTATTTATTAAATTTATTGAAGCCATCAAGAAATATAGTAGTAAAAATTAAAATATAGAATAGAATCTCATCCTGTAATGTACAATAAAATACGGACTAAAAATTATATCCTCTCATCTACATTATAAATATGGAATAGCATAATAATCTTAATTACCTTGTTGCTAATAAGCTCCAGTTGCTTCACAAGTAGCAAAAGTGTCTCACCAGCAGCAGTAGTCAGGACAGGTAAAAGAGCGGGTAGTGTTATTAGCTCGAAATCATTTCTATCCTACAATAAATTGTCAGAAATCCTAAATTAAATAAAAACACGATAATGCTAGACAGAATATAAAATAAATTCATTACGACATGCTGCCTCAACACTTCCTCCACATTGAGTTCATATCAAACAATCAGATCTATAAAAACTACAAAACTGGCCCTTAAGATACAAGTTCAGGACTTCAAGTCAAACCAAAATATAAAAAGGCAAATCAGAAAGAAACGCTAGAAAGCCAATAAAACAAGCTCCACAAGGTTCTACATTCAACTCATCAAAGGATGCTCCATGCATAGAGGGCATTCAATTCACACTATTAATGTACTATTCTGTAGGGCTGTGCAAAAAAAACCGGTAACCGAACCAAACACGGTAACCGAACCGAACCCGAATTTTTGGGTCGGTTTCGGGTAACTTTTATAAGATACCCGAATTTTCGGTTCGGCTATCAGTTATTTAATTTAAGATAACCGGGTACCCGGTTTTATTAAAAAAAAAAAAAAAAAAAAAAACCAGTTTTTAAAATTTTTTTTTACTCTCAATTTTCAAAGGGCAAAAGCCCTAAATAGGCAAATACATTGCCCTAAAATTTCAGCCCGTCAGCGTCACTGCGTCAGGTCCCGCACTTTGCTCTCATCTCTCTCAAATTCTCTAGTCTCCAGTAAAGTGCGTCAGGTCCCGCAATCTTAAGCATGTGGATTACATTTGATCTTTTATAATTAAGTGATATTTGAAAGGCAAAAAGAATATCAAGGATAAGAAAAGAAAAAAAAAAGTAGAAGAAAAGAGTAGCAGAGATTTGATTCTGTATTTCTATTTCCTTTCACATATTTCTTTGTTGCTGCTTCTTCAGTTGTAAAATTATTGAATGAAATACCCCTGATGGAATTGTATCTTGTAAAAAGTTAAAATTCATGATGAATTTTAATCAAATTCGGGTCATAAACCGGGTATCCAATTTTTGACCCGAATATTCGGGTACCCGCAAAGCGGGTATTCTAAAAACCGGTTCAGTTTGCAGGTACCTTTTTAGGGGTACCCAAACATTCGGATACCCGGTTTTTCGGTCTAAACCGGTTTGGGTGCCCGGTTTTGCACAGCCCTACTGTTCTGAAGGTGCAATAAACAATTTCTTCACATGAAAGCAATTTAACAAAGCCAATGGTGAAGGGAAAAAAAGAAGCTTCTGTTGTCATCGCATTAATTGAAACGGCTATTTAATATAGAATTAGACACAAGTTGTTCCAGTAGAAAACAAAGAGAAGGAGGATACAAAACTTTGGAAGAAATTAGACATCTACTACATGCACTATACCAATCCAACCTCCTTTCAACAACTGGTCCAAACAGATTAAAGTCAACAACTTTACATGCCTATTTGAATGCTATGCAAGGATTTAATAATCTGATTAACAACAATGCGAAATATATTAAATAGGCATGCCAACTTTTGATATTGTTCGCAGTATGAAAGAACTAGCACCTGAGACTCTGCTATTGTGAGAACCATGGGCAGAATCATTGGTTGCATCACTACATTCCGAAGTTCTGCACAAAGTGGCGGTAGAACCTGCACGAAAATCTTGTTCAGAAAAGTTTCTGTGCATCATAATTGTTGCAAAATAGAAGCTTGAATGGTCCATCAGCTCAGAAAACAAAAATTAGCTCAATTCAAAGTGAAATGTGATAGATTATCAAACTTCATTTTAAAATATATAACCAAACTGACAGATTTCAACTTCAAGTCAGGTTACCAAAAACAGGAAGAAACTATCAAAACTAAGAAACAAGAAAATTCTGACCCAAGAGAAGACTCAAACCTTATACCGCAGAACACGAGAATCAAAATCTTTCCACATATCTGATAATGCTTTTAAAAATTCAGATTTCTGCATGTTATCTCTCCCCTGCAAAAAATTAAATTAAATAAACAAAAATGTGATGCTAAGAGGTACCATTTCTATAAAAACTCTTTATTTTTATCTTTTTCATTCCTCAAACACAGCACCAGGAATAGTATATCTCATAAGAATGCGTTAGCAAGCTAAACTGCAAAAGCTTACAAGCATGTGGTCAAGGAATCGAAGAGCGCGCAACCTAGTGTCATCACGAAAAAATGGAGAACCTACAAAAGGAAGCATAAATTTCAAAGAAATATACAAACCAAGTATGAGTTACAACACAAAAGAAATTACAGACAGCCAACAATAGCTCAGGCAAATTGCTAATGTATTTTAAGCAACTAATAGCCACTCCTGAATCTTGCCACAACATCCATGACATTAACAAGTAACAACAATTCTAGGTCTAATGTAGAGAGACCCTCAACAATTTTGCCTAATTTATCGTAAAATTAGAAAGTACATCCAATATCAAGAAAAGAGTAACCTGTGGCTCCCAGTCCAATTTCATATATGATATTATCACATGATAGCCCTATATATCACCAACAAGGGGGTTCGTGTCACTCCTTAAATTATACAATTCAGTTTTCCTCGCTAGTATTTTAACTCCATTAAAATTCTGCCACTCCTTACCAAGCTCAATTCTCTTAGTTTATTTTAATTGTTCTGATGTCAAGTATTAATTATCTTTCTTATTTGTTTTTTTTCTAGGAAACAAAGATAATCTATTAATGGACAAGTTGTCCACACGAAAAAGATAGAGCATCCCAAAAACCCAAAGGTTCGAAAAACACATCTGCTATTCCAAAAAACATCAATGCTAAAAATCAAAAACCCCTAATCACAAAAAGTTACAACCTATAAAATCTTAGTTATCTCAAATCTTTGATTATGTTTTATGTATTTTTATATTATGTGTTTATCTTATTTCCTTTATTATTTGTTGTGTTAAATAACTATCGGTCTTGAAGTTTTTTTAATTCTATAACTTTTACTTTGATATAAAATACAATTAAGTTTAAGTAACTTACACACATTCATAAATCACTTTTCTCTTTTCGGTTTTCTTAGCTTTACTCTTTTCAGCATTAATTAATTGACATTTCAGTTGTTACAATAATATAAATAAATAAAATTTGAAGAATTCTGGATAAATAATAACAGGTGTTATCTCTTTATATGACTCTTTTGTTTTTATGACTCACACTATAAAATTTAACCATATTAATTTTATAGCGTAGTTAATGAGTTAATCATCCAATAATTTTTAACTATAAATATTCTTAAGAGTGCCCCCTCACACAAACTTATGGGTCCACTGCTTCACATAATGGCAATAGCATTGAACATAAAAATGCATGAGCAATATGCCATTTCAGATAATTATGAGGAAAAAGCATGCTCACATATATAAAATTTTCAAATCAAAATGATAGACAAATTCTGACATATTGCCTTCTAAAACTGCAAAACTATGTAGCGAAGATATTGGTGATAGATAGGCAAACTTCTTGACACTTTTCAACGGGAACATCATGGTTATCAGCTTGTGAAAGGGACCCTCTTAATCTCTCTGAACATACCTTCTTTTGTCCCCTGTTATTTGAAATTCTTTTTTTTTTTTTTCTTTTAATGCTGTCCATGTTCAAAGTTCTTTTAAAAACCAATTGAGAAAATAAAATGTCCTCAATTTATAAAAATACAAGAGTGGGAAAAATGAATGGGTCCATAATGCTCACTTTTTTACCTGTAAAATCTGACGCTGTCGGCCTGAGAGACTCATTTGCCGAAAGCATCCTTTGAAGGTCAGGAACTAATTCTGGTGGGATAGAGGAGAAAGCTTCATTGGATAAATAAGTCAAGGTATTCATATACTGCAGGAAAATAAGAAATAAAAATAAAGGACAAGAATTAAACATTGACAACTAAAAATGAAATTAAAAAGACTAAATTATGTTAGGATGAGACAGCAACAACCACTGTTTATTTACAAAACTAATGACAAAATGTTTAGACCATTAAATTAATGTACATTCAATGGTTGAAATTACATTTGAATAATAATAAATGCATATTGGAGGTCGTACATGTCATATGTAATCTAAGCCATCCAAAGAATACCAATTTAATTGTCAGTCACATTCTGTGACATTTGTGCAAATAAAACAGGGGCCTAGCGAATTGCCAATGGATGTGTGTATCTAGAGAATAATCAAATAGAGCAGCATATCGGCAGCACCACAGCTGAAAAAAAACCAACAGTTTTTCTTGTTTTCAAAAAACGCTTGATGATTGAATTTATAACCACTGCCAAAATGCAATGAATTATGACAAAAATAATCTATTAGTACCATCTTGACATTGTTGTGGCAATCAAACAAAGGCTTGCGAGCAATCAGGTGGTAGGCAAGGCATCCAAAGCTGAATATATCAGAAAAGCATCCAACTGAAGCAGTCTTGCTCCGAACAAGCTCAGGTGCAGTGTAATTTAAGGATGGCTGAAGGGGCAGCATAGAATCCTCAACATCATATTCCTGTGCAATCATATCAAATTAAAAAAATGCTAAATATGGTTCACTGAGGAAAAAATACTCAATTCATCAGAACTGGACGACTTGGACCCAATGAAAACATTAAACAAAGAACAGTTGACACACAAAAGGAACCATATAATTCAGTATTGTCAAAGAAGTCCAAGACAAAAGAGGAGACAAAAACCCAAAGTGATCGTGAAAGCAAGTGGACTATTTAGGAAGTGGGTATACATAGTGTTATGGAGTTAAGATCACCAGGATTAAGTGAAGAAAATGCATATAAATAACTTGAAAATACACCAACTTAGAAAAATTAGCAGGATATATTTTCAGAATTTAGCAGAAATAACTAAGTAAATGCAACAATTTTATCCAAAATGAACAAGAATAATGTACCCAAAACAATTTTTTATTCCCTAATTCAACTGAAATTTACTCACAGCATAATGAAAGGCCTGCACATTAGACGAATCACTACTGACTTGATCTGTCGTGATTGCAAAACCAAATCCACCCAGCTTCCATGCCCCACTTGAAGTTATTAGGACATTCTGCAAAAGAATTGTTCGTCATCAGATAACAAATCCATACAAGGGCCAACACCGTAGGCTATTGATCTCTGGATTATAACTATTCCAAATTTCAAATGATAAACAACATTCTTATGCCACTAGATCAAAGAAAATATTAACCATTCCAAATTAAACATAAATAATACTTATCTTCAAAGATAACAATAAAAAAAAGAAAACAAAGACTCCATGTTCATCTCCACAGATTAAGACAAAAAGGACAAAGACTGATTCATATCAACAAAGAAAGATTCACTGAGGAAACAACTTAAGCATTTCAGTAACCTGAAAGAATGTAAATATTGTAAAACAACTCAGTATACACTGGAAAGCAACAGCGACAGCCCATGGCCAAAGGACCATTAACAAAACTGCCAAAACCACAACTCAAATACCCATAACCATTTCCAACAATGTTCCTACCCCCCCACAATCACTCCCCATGCCATCACCATGACCACTGGTGTGGTAACTGTTATAGCTTTCTTTCCCACAATTTCCATCCCTACCACACTAATATTCACTACTAACACAAACACTCATCACTAGGACATGAAAATCAAAAGAAAATTACTAGAAAAGTAAGATAGCCCATATTTTTTTTTTTTTTTTCTAATGTAAGTTCTCCATGAAAAAACCCTTCAGAAAGCAAAGTATTTTACGTGGAAACACCCAGAACTTAAAATATGGACCAGTCCAAATGTCAATGGAATAAGGCGCAAGAAAACGAGGACCTCAGACCCCTGGGTCTCTTAATCCAAAAAAAAAAACGAAAAAGGTAGACAGCCTACCAACTCTCAAGCAATTTCCACTATAGAACAGTCCAACAAAGCAGGAAAAAGTTGTAACAACTTTAAAATGATGAAAACATGTATAAAGTGAACAAATAACCTCAGGTGATATAGCCCGGTGAATGAGATGAGCATTGCTATGGAGAAAATCCAAGGATTCTGCAATTTGGAGTAAACCATGCTTCATTTCCAACAAACTCATCTCCTGCAAAGCAAACACATTCAGAAAGCTACGACTGTCAAGCATAAATAACAATAACTCTTTAGATAGATTCAACACTAAGCAAAGCATCAACCCAAAAAAGAGGTACAACTCCAAGAAACATCTTCAAAGACATAATTTCAAGGAGCAGCTAAGCTGCATACATATTATCTAATCTGGGCTAGATGAGTTATTGTCATAATATGACCAAAAGACTAAGCCAGGAAACTCTTTGGTCTTTTCTCACAGTAGGATTACACAACCAGACTTAAAAATAATTTGGGTTGTTGGATCTTGGAAAAAGTAGCAGCCATTGTTGTTGTAGGGGAAGTAACGAGCAGTTCCGACTTTGTTGTTGTCTACTTGGCCAAAAGGCGTGGAACTAAATCTCTATTTCTTTTACGTCCCTTCCTTTATTAAATGAATTTATGTTAAATGGCAGATAGAAAGCTGGACAATTTGTTCTAGCCTTTTCTTTGAGTTGGCCAAAGGACACATCCATACAGTTAAGATGAGTGCACAAACACCAGATTTCCTATAATTCTGTCTCTCCGAAAAATCATAAACCTAATATGTCAAAACATTCTAAACGAGAACCAACAAAATAAAAAATTCGTAGTATCACAAGTTTTCAAATTCTCATCGCATTGAACATTAAATGCTTGACATCCCAAAAACCCCTATGATTTCCCTCTAGCAGGATATATCAGATCTAAAAGTGGCTTGACAGTCCCCCATCCTACACTGCATCCCATTCCCTAGACATCCCCTCCCACTAGCAAACAAACACTCCATCTCCTAGTAGTTAAAAAAAAAAAACATACAGTACACTTTTCTAGCAACCTAGTATGGAAGATATAATCACCCTTCATTATACATGTAACACCAGGTAATCACAAAGATTTTCATTCACCACATTCTACACTATCTATCTCTCTCCCAGGTCCAAACCTCCACAATCTTCTCTCTAGTATAGAACCCAATGTTACAGGTTCCCTAACATCAGCACAAACTGGGGGGCACAGCTTGTAACAATTAACAAGATGATGTTTAAATCTCTTCATCCATGCCCTTGAGGCATAGACTTTTTAACTTTTCTTGTTTTTCCGCATCAATGACAGACAAAAATAGAAACATAACAGATGTTGAAAAGCTTGAGAAAGTTCTCCTGATACTCATAAATTACCATTGACCATTCCAATCCTATTTCAACAACTGTTGTTAAAATATATGAAAACCAATGCTGCCTTAAAAGATAACCATAAGGTCAGCCAAATAAGACAGGATTGAAACCCATAATAGATCATGACACATATATTACACAACTTGTAAATAATCTTCTTCTGAAGACTGCAAAATCCAGCAAAAGCTACCCTGATGTTTCAATTCACTAATTTAATTTATTTTTCTTCAAAATAACTGATTTATGCCAAATCACCATATACTTCACATGTCCCATCATAGCAAACATATCATTATATATGAAGACAGAAATCCATAAAGCCAACTGTTACATCATGACATTTGCAAACTACCAATGCTTACATTTCTCTTTCACAAGATGATTTGAAGCAACAATCACAAAATCCAACCAAAAGAACTAGAAGAACACACAGCTATCCAATGCCACTGCTAAACCTTAAAATAACTACATGATCATAACCAGATCATCAAACACATCATCGAACACAACACTCATAATCTACGATATAGACTTATAACTACAACTTTCACATTAAAAGTGTTATCATGATCCCATCCCAACTGATGTGACAATTGATATCATGAATCACCAAATTAACTGCCACATCATCATTTTGATAGATATACATAGTTCACAATCCCAACTTCGGAAGTATAACATTTACTCTAATCCTGCTAATTTAACTCATTCAAAATTTAATTGAAGGGAAAACCTAATTCAATTCAAAATCATAATTAATTAACAAACTAAACAAACACATTACGCATACCAATCCCTTAAGCTCCTTCGGCACTTTCATGACATTCCCAAAATTCTCCAAATTCCCCAAAGCGTTCGCCACCGACGCGAATAGCGGCTCCGTCACCATCGCCATCGCGTTCTTACTCTCATCCATTGCCTGCACCACGTGTACAACTCCCGGATGCCGAAGCCTCACCAGTCTCCCCGCGTCCGCACGCGCCAGATCCAGAAACGCGTCCTCCACCGCCTTCGACAATCCCGCACGAACCCTCGCCTCCGACAAAGCGCGCTTATCCAGCACCCAAACACACACAATTGGATACTGCTGAGCGCGCGTAGCGTCACGCGCCTTGGCGGAGTAGAGTTTCCAGGCGAGTCCTGGCCCTGCCGATCCGATCTGGTCAATGATCTCGTAATCTTGGAGAGGTTTCGGTCCGGTTACCTCCTGTACGGTTGTTTGTACGGTTTTTTCGATCACGGCAGCGGTTTTGGCGAGGGCTTGAGTTAGGGTTTTCATGTTGAGAGACATTTTAAATTTTATTGAATATTTGGAAAAAGATGTTGAAATAATTCCTTTTTTTTTTTTAAATGTTTTGATTTAATTTTGTGAGGGATTGGAGAATTTGAGACGATGAATCAGAGAAGCTTTCTTCTCCCGGTTTCCGTTTGATCAAAGCTCTCTTTTTCGCAGAATTGTGTTGAGGCTTTTTTTTTTATATTCATTTTTTAAGTTTTTAATTTTTGGATTTATTAATAAGGGTAAATTACAGTTCACTACCTGAGGTTTCAAGAAAAGTAATCGCACCCAACAAGTTCCATAGAGAGCATCATCCGAGGGAAACTTTGTAAACCCACACATGATTGAGGAATAATTTAAGATGATTACATATTGTATAATTTCTTTTTATCTCATTTATTGATTATAATTTATATGTGCGTTGATGTATGAAAAAGTTTCTATTTACATAATATTCACTAAGCAAAGATACGCTATTAAACAACAACAAAATTGATTGAAGGTTAGACAATATTTTCAACGGAACAGTCCTTGCCATTTGTTTCAACGGGTTGATTTTTTTAGGGAAAATGCAGTTGAAAACTTTGCATCTCATAACTCCGAAAACTACCAAGAACAACCCTGCCATTAGTTTTTCTATTAAAATAGATGGAAGACCAAGTTTGACCATTACAATTACAAATTTACTTATAATTGATTATTAACTTGACCATATTAACCCTTACAAAATTATGATTGATAAAGTATTATCAATATGATTCAAACTCTAGATCCAAACATCAGACTAGTATCTTCACCACTCTGCATATAAAACTTATATAACTATTAACCACTTACCTTATGGTCGGAAAGCATGATCTTAGGTTACCTAAAGGTCTTGTTTGACTCTTACTAAGCGGTCACTTGCCACATTTCAATGAACTCCGAAGACTAGTTAAGTTACACACAAGCTGGTTTGAACACTTTGGTTAAAAAAAAAAAAAAAAAAACTTATGTAATTATGGTACAAAAACAAATATATAACATACACAAACAATATTTTATTTTATTTATGTTACAATATACTTAAAATTAATAATAAAGTATATATAAAATTCATGTTAAAATAGATTTAAATTAATAATAAAGTGTATATAAAGTTCATGTCAAAATAGATTTAAAATTAATAATAAAGTGTATTCAAAATTTATGTTAAAATATATTAAAATTTAATAAAAAAGTATATTTAAAATTTATGGTAAACTAAATTAAAAAAGGAGCAAGTTCCTCCACCACCGCAAACCCAAGTTTGATTCAAGCACAATACATTAGTCCATAAGGGGCAGACACAATATTCCAAGAGTCTTGGGCATTTAAAAAAAAAAAAAAAGATAATTGTTGGTTTTCTTTTTTCTTACTTCGTTCTTTATTATACTTTATATTAAAAAACAAATTAAAAAGATGATATGATTCAACCTCAAATAAATTTTTGTTTTTCTTTTTTTTTTTTTAGAAGAGTTGGGAGAAAATTTTAACATAAGATAAAAACAGAAAAAGAAAATGTAAAATTAGAAAACGAAAGTGATCATAAACAAGATGTCACGTAGCTAGATTTTTTTTTTTTTTTTTAAGGTTTGTTATTTTGTATTTGTTAATTTTCAAATTTAAGTATATAATATTTTTTTATAAAATATTTTTATTGGAATTTTAAATATATTAAATTTTATAGGAACTTTACATATATTGAATTTAATATTTTTCAATATTATTAAATATAAAATTTAGTATATCTTATATAAGTTTAAATATATTAAAATTGACGTTAAATATTATATAATTTCAAAGAAGTTGAAAATGTATTAAATTTGATACCCTTATTCCTATTTTATGGCTTAAATCTTATAATATTACTGGTGTATTAGTTTAATTTTGCACTTAGAGGTCTAGGTTCTAACCTTTTATGTATTAATTTATTCAAAAGGCATGTTTAACTTGAAAAATAAATCCTGCTCTTGGTCCCATCCATTTTAACGGGAAAAAAAACTAACAATAGGGGTTGTTCTTGGTAGTTTATGGAGTTATGGGATACAAAGGTAGTTTTTTGAGTTTCAGCGGTTGTAATATCATTCTCCCACTTTTAAAAGAAACTATAAAAGTGTGTTTGGTTAGAGGTTATGTGGAATTACTCTAGTAATGTTATCTTATATTACTCACATTACCATGTTTGGTTGTTAAGTAATAAAAGATTTTGGTAATCCTAAAAAATCAACAGTAATTATTATTGATTATATAGGTGATAATCTGAATATCACTATTTTCTTATGTCTTCTAAGAGTACTTAGTAATCTTAATTTTGTTACAATTTTACATCTAAGAGTTTGTTTGGATCATATAATATTTCATTATAAAAGATGTTATATTAATGGAATGATATATTACTTTAAAAATTATTAGGAATATTTAGGAAATGTGTTTGATTGGTGCAAAAAAATTGCTAAGTAATATGTATGATTGGGAGAATAAATTGGTGGGTATGTTATATAGATTATTAAATTGCCCTCCTTGTTGAATATTAATATAATATCATTTTTTGAATTATTTTTTAAGCCCCTATATTTGAAATTTGCTAAAACACCCCACCATATAAAACTTTAATTTATAGCAAAATCACCCCCGCTCACCCTAAGCCACTATCGACAGCTAGCCACCACCTTCGGCTACCATCAACAACAGTCAACGGAATGGTGCACGATTGGCTGTATATAGCCGGTCGTGTGCCCAAAAAGCCATTTCCAGCCATAGATCATAAATCCATGGCCGTGAAATGACGACCATTTCACGGCCAAATATGGCCGTTTCCTGCTTGAATCTGGAAAAGGCCTTACCAGTCAGATCTCGCCATTCATACACCATTACAGTGACTAACGTCGGCGGCCGAAAGTGGTCTTGGGTGGTTAAGAGTATTTTGTTAACTTTTTAACTTTTTTATGACTGAGGTATTTTAGCAAAATCTCATATGTAGGGGGTTAAAAAAATATATCTAATAATATTAAAAAATAAGGGCAATTTAGTAATATATATAACATACTTATCAATTTATTTCAATCTAACCAAACACATTTACTATATCATTTTTAATAATCTTCAAGGTAATCTGTCTTCCCATTACTATAACATTCCTAGTAAACATTTCCAATAATACAACATTATCTGAACTAAATGCACCATAATTATAATATCAAATACTCATCACTATTCACATGTCATCGTCACAACATTACCATTGAATATCATTTTAATTGTAGACAACATCACATATGCATCATTTTATTTAAATGAATCAACAAAAACATATAATGAAAAATAGTATACTGACTACAAAATTGAAAGATCTTAAACTTTAATGTAAAAAAGTGAGAGCGAAAATGTATTGTTGATGTCTTTAAACTTGTCATCGATTGGTTTGTATGTCATAAAGTTATATTATTATTATTGTTGTTGTTATTAAGGTGGCAAATATTCCTAGAGCGGGTTGAATAGGAATCTATAAAATTGTTTATGGAATAAAAACTTTCACCAACTCAAACACGTTATGAACTTAAAACAACAACAAAGATAAGCAATAAATAAGAATGATGTTACACAATAAGGATAAACAATTTTGAGCAACAAATGAAAGAGAAATATAAATATGAGCAATGAATTAGTGCAAATAATAATGATGCTTCAAGTAAATATAAAAGGAATAATAAATGAGTTGAGAGAGAAGAAATGTTCATAGATTTATATTGGTTCAGAGCTATATCCACAAGTCTCTTACATCCACTTCTTCAAGACAACCTCTTTGAAGTTCCATTAGAATCAAATTCAGGCCTTTAAACTAATTTGATAGAATTTTGCCTCTTATAATATTTTGACAAGATTTTGCGTCTAGATTTACAAGATTTCACCCATAAGATGTTTGAAAAAGTATGTAAATGATTGCCTTTTAAACTAAGCATTAACACACAATAAAAACAATACTCTCAAAGGTTTACAAATGAGTGCAAGAAAGTGATGTTTTGTTTTTTATTTTTAGATCAAGAGATTATGTGAGAATGATTTTTTTTTTATAAGGCTTTGTTTCTCTGATATTCTCTTTGTCCTTTTTTGTAATAAAACACTTTATTTATTGCTTGTCTCCCTTTGAAGTAAAAAGGCATTGCTGCTTTTAATGCAATTCTTAAAAGCTATAGAACCTAGAGCAACGGACATTCCACCATCACGAATAGACATCTCACCATCGCGAACGATCGTTTTTGACACAAACGATCACTTCGTTCAACTTCTTGAATGATCGTTCTACCATCGTGAATAGTCACTCCACCATTGCTAATGGTCATTCCACCACGGGGAACGGTGGGTACATTGGCTTCTTAAAAATCCATAAAAATTTCAGAAGCATGCGCGACTTCCTAGAACGATGACGTTCTGCCAAGAACGATCTTTGAGTGTGAACGGTCATTCCACTATGTGGAACGGTCGTTCCACTTTAGATACATGAAATTCAACTTGATCTTCAAGGCTTGGCTTCCAAGATTTGTCAAAGGCGCAAAACGTTTGAATTCTGAGTACTTTGACTTTTTACCTAAATGGAATGGGTATGTTGCTTTGTCATGCCGTTGTGAGCAACTTGACTCCATTGACCATATGGAATGTTGTCGTGCTAAGAGGAATGTGCATCTGGGCAACTTTGTGAAACAAGAAACGGTCGTTCCTTCATCCTGCATGATCGTACCAACTAAGAAAACTGCATTTTGTTTTTGGTTATGACTTCTTATCATACCTTAGCTTGTTTGTTAAAGAACCAATCAATTCTTTGGTTAGTTTTTATAAGTAAATCGATGGGTTAAACACAGCGGAAAACAAAATTTTTCCTATCGATTACTCTGAAGAACCCAAGATCAGGGTCTGATATGTATATATTCTACATGCTTAAATTGAAATAACATAAAACCAAACAAGGATCGGATCATACCGGCGTTTGAAGGCTT